AATATAAATTTAAATATAATTAATATATATAAATTCAAATAAAATTAAATTTATATCATTATTAATATATTAAAAATTTTAATTGCAATACAATGTTTTCTATATTTCAAATATTTTTAATTAAATAATAAATATATTTAAAAAATCATCATTTAATTTTATTATGATATAGTGGTTGATAAAAAATAAAATTATAACTCAAGAGGTGAATAAAATTATAAAAAATAAAAGTAAAAATGAAAAGTTATTTTATATATATCAACTATGAGAAAATTATAAATTTAGTCCCACAATTGCAATTTTAGTCCTTAGAGTTAACGGTGACTTAACGGTCAGTTAGATTTGGGACCAATTGAGCAACAAAAATTAGTTAAGGACTGAAATTGCGCCTCTTGGGGCTAAAATTGCGAACGTCCCAATCTAACGGGACCAAATTTGCAATTAACTCTCTCCTAATACTAGTAATAATCTGTGCACATGCACATATTTAAATAAAATATTATTAGTCATACACCTATATATTATATTTAAAATTATAAGGTATGTATATAACCGGAATATCACATTTAGTACATTTAAATGAATAATATAATTATAAAATATTTTACTTTCATTTGAATAGTTGTATAAATTTCATGCAATATATAATGAATAATGTAGCTTTACAAATTTAAAAGGTTGTGACCACTTAATTAGTTGATAAAATATTAAATTATTACTATTATAACAATTATTAATGCGATTCTAATGGATTTGCTATACCATTATCAAGGTTGTCAAAATCGGACCGGTCATCGAACCGGTCGACCTACTGGTTCAATGGTTCATTGGTCCGACCAGTGGTTGAACCGGTTGGACCGTTATTTAATTTCTTGATATTTTTAAATATATATATAAATAATATTTCATAGATATAGTTAAATTAATTTTTAAGTTATTTAATTTATTGATATTTTAAATATATAATACTATAAATATTAAATATAGTTGGCTTATTTTTTAAAAGGTTGGTCCCACCATATATAGATTAAGCAATAAAATGATAGTACAAAAATATGGGAAAAAAAATATATATTTCCTCACATTCCCACATTGGACAATAAAATAATAGGAAATAATGATGGGATATGAGAAAGAAATTCCTTCCACACGCATGACTTTAGTCATTTACCTTTATAATTGGAAATTTGGAATTCTTACATCTTGTCCCACATCGGTAACCATAAAAAGTTAGTTGATTTATAAAAGTGTTAGAATTTATACATAAAATTTTTTGACCGGATAAAAAAAAAAACAAAATAAATGACCGGTTGAACCAACCGGCTTTTTGACCGGTTTTGGCCGGTTCGACCGGGTTTTGACCGGTTTTGGCCACAGCCGGTTTCTTCCATTGAACCGGACCGGTTAACTGGCCGGTTCTCGATTCAACCGGTCGGACCGGCCGGTCCGGTCCGGTTTTGACAACTATGGCCATTATAACCAACTAGTTATCTAAAATATATTTAATGAGATAAAAATGAAAATTATATTTATATTTATGCAAATAATTTTCATGTACTTTTTAATGTAAATTTATAATTAGTTAATATTATTAGTAACTATATTATATGATATAATAGTTATAAAAATTAATATTATACTTAATTAATATAAAATGTAATGGTTAGTTTCACAATTTATTATGCATATTTAGTTCGTAAGAAATGCGTATTTAGTTCATCCATAGTGTATATTTGATATATTTAAATTAATATAAACATGATGCTTATTTAGTTCATTCATGATGGATATTCAGTCCATCCATAGTACATATTTGTTATATTTGAATTAATAAAGACATGATACATATTTAGTTCATGCGAAATTCATATTTAGTTCATCCATAGTGCAAATTTGTTATATTTATATTAACTATAGACATGATGCATATTTAGTTCATACGAAATGCATATTTTGTTCATCCATAGTGCATATGTTATATTTATATTAATTATACGCATCATGCATATTTAGTTCATTCATCACGCATATTTAGTTCATGCGAAATACATATTTAGTTCATCCATAATGCATGTTTGTTATATTTAAATTAAATATACATGATGCTAGTTAATTCATTCTAAATGCATATTTAGTTCATCATAGTGCATATTTGTCATAATTAAATGAATTATATAAATAATGCATGTTTAGTTCATCTTAGTACAAATTTTGTTATATTTACATTAATTATATACTTACTGCATATTTAGTTCATTCATGATGCATATTTAGTTCATTCATAATGCAATTTTTAGTTCATATTCAATGCATATTAGTTCATTTATAATGCATAGTTAGTTCATTCGTAGTGCATATTTAGTTAGTTAATATGCATATTTAGTTCATTCATTATGTATTTTTATTATATTTAAATTAATTATATACATCAAGTTTTATTCAGTTCATTTATTATGCATATTACTTCATACGAAATGCATATTTAGTTTAACAATAGTGAACATTTGTTATTTTTTAATTAAATATATACATGATGCATATTTAGTTCATTCTTGATGCATATTTAGTTCATAACAAGTGCATATTTAATTCTCCATAGTCCATATTTGTTATATTTAAATTAAATATATACACGATGCATATTTAGGTCATTAATGATGCATATTTAGTTCATTGATAGGTGCATATTTAGTTATAGCTAATGTACATTACATTCATATTTAGTTCATTCATAGTGCATATTTGTTATATTTAAATTAAATATATATACATGATGCATATTTAGTTCATTCATTGTGCATATTTAGTTCATACGAAATGCATATTTAGATCATCAAATTATTTAGTTCATGTGAGATCCAATCATAACTATATATTTATTTGTTTAGATCCATGACTTATATTAATCGATTGAAATATAAGTTAATTATATAATAAAAATAATAATTATTATATTTAATTTATTTATATAAAATGCAAATTTTATTGTATTTTTTATACATATTTAGTTCATTCATGATGCATATTTAGTTCATAAATAATGCACACTTAGTTGACATTATCACTGCATATTTAATTCATAAGAATTGCATATACAATTCATGCCCAATACATATTTAGTTCATATTAAGTTCATAGTATTGAATGCATATTTACTTAATACATAATGTATGCTAAGGTCAGTCGGTCATGTTGGACGAAAAACAAACACAACAGTCCTCCCCAATTCTCTCTCTCGTCGAAACCCTAGCCACTCGTCCTCCCGTCGTTGTTTCCATTTTTCTCTCCTTCCCCAACGAATAGCCAGTCTTCTTGCCGGCGGATTGCCCTAAGCCGCACTCCCTTGTCCCAATTTTGTGCCATCTCCATTCGGTTCGCGCCAATTGAGGAAGACAGATGTTCAACGGTCGGTCCTTGCTTCGTGGTGGTCGCCGTTCGAGGTAGTATTTCTCGGCCTCTCTGGTTTGTGTTTTGTGTCAGATTGAGAGAAGGGCGTTGCCCTGGCTGTTCGCAAATGTTGATTGCAGGCTAGCTGGGGTTGAGGGGAGAGGCTGGAATCCCTATTTCTCTGTTCCTATGGTGTGCAGGACGGGGATGACTGGCACTTTGGACCTAGGCCAGTGGTGATGGCCGGGTTTGGGGTGGTGGTGGATGGGGCAGTGGCTTTGCTTGTCCGGCTTTGGGTCGGTAACTTCCTTTGAGTGATCGGGGCTCCGGGACTCGACTTCAGCTATGCAATTT